TCAAATAACCATATCTTATAACAGGTATAAAGCGAAGATGAACCGACTGGCGTGTTCCAGTGCAACTAATAATTTATTGTCCGCCTGTACTTATTATACAATATGGCCCGCACCTGGTCATTGGACAGGCTAACTCGTCTATGCTGCTCTGCTGCCACAGGGGCCATATTGAGTACCGTCTACATATAAAACAAAACTGAAAACAATCACCTGCTCAGATATCTCAACTACTCAACTGCACACAAATTAATCAATCACAATTTTCACTGAATCTCAAACTTTCTATGCATTAAATGGATCAATAAACCGTCAACAATGCATTCATTAATAAGAGTTCGATGTTTGAAATACAATATATGCGAAGCAAACCAAAAAACACCACAGCACACAATACATTTATTTGCATTTCTATAGCAAAATCTAATATTTCCAAACAAAACTTTATTTATTCTAACAGAGGAAGAATATTTACATGGCTAGCCGTCCTACTGCTAATTATTTATTACCCTGCTGTTGATTTAGCTTAATCTACAATATAAATCACCCATTTTAGACAAAGCTTATTAAGTTACATTGTCATTGCTAATAAAACAAGACAAAAACTGAAATTGAATGAAACTAGTGCTGATTCAATAGTTGGTGGTCTGTTGATGATATGTTGAGTAGTTTTGTATAAGTAATTATTCATGATCATCACTTGAATGACAGATAGTGAATGAAGTTTGTACGATTTTAAAAGGTAGCTCTTTTGGTTAACAATGGGCACTTCCAGCGACTACCAAAACGATGTAGTTATTTAAATATAACACACCCTATGTTGAATGCATGCATAATCGAACATAGCTTGCCGAGACGAGCTACAAGGTGACACAATAAATTATTTTTCGATTAATGTGATAGGAATAGGAACAGATTTATTTGTGATATCTGAATCACGATGACTGGTAACAATAATTTTTGTGAGTCTCGAGTGAAAGCCTTTTACACGATTGAGATGACACACCGTTATCAAACGACCTTGTTATATTAATATGAACATATGACACGAGTAAAAAAAGAAGCTACCATGTGGAATGCATTCGAAAAAATGTCATTTAAAAATGCCATCAAGTGCAGCATTTTTGCCGGCGAGCGGTTATCGTCTCGATAAACAGTTCAATAATATAATGAATTATGTACCGATCTATAAATATTATAATTAATAGCTGTTGACATTCTGTTTCTGTTATTTAACTTATTGCATTTCTCAGTCAAAACACCCCAGCATCCCTTCGGATCTCCTTCAATTAGACCGCAACATGAATGAACTCGGCGCAATGCAATTATGCAAATATCTGACATTTTATGTGTTGTATAGGGTGTCGCTGAGAAAGTTTAAACTTGAACTTGTTTTCTTGCTGACTTGTTGATTTTCAATCGAGTTTAAAAACAAAACTAAACAATGTAAACAAACATGACCTTTATTATTTGTCACTCAAATCTTACACAATCCGAATGCAGTTTTAAATTTAGCCTACATGTGTCCACCGAGTGCCATACAGGGCCCCGGGGCGCCAATTTTGCTCTCTAAAAAATTATTATTACACAAAAATTAAGACAGCTAGAACATTTTTGTTACTGCAAAGAAAAAAATACAAACTTTGAGGCTATAACATTTTTTTGTGTGTTGCATTTCTAAAAATAAAAAAAGTTAAGAAGTTTCAACAAAATCTTAAAAATTTTTAGTAGAACACCATATTTATCGATTTTTCATCTAAGAGATTTCAGACATTTAAAAGTATGTTTTTAGATAGACAATTTAACAATCTATTAGAGGCAAAAACAAAAAATAGGATGTTCCATTTAAACTGTTTACATTTTTCATTTTTACAAATGCAATAAAAAACTGTTACCCTTAAAGTTTTTGCTTTTTTCTTTTTTTTTTAGTTTAAAAAAAATTGTAGCTGTCTTAGTTTTTGTGTATCAAATTTTTAAAGAGTATGTTGTCGTTAAAAAATCACTTATTTTAAAAAGTGAACAAAACCGATATATTGTAATAAAAAACATGAGTTTGAATTGTAAGTTATTTTTGAAAGACGCTGTGTAGTTGAAAAAAAAAATCAAACGATGCACTAGATTAGTATCCATCAATGGTCTACATTATTTTGTTTTAATTTTAACATTTAAAGGTCAGTAATGAACTCGCTAGGGCACTTTGTATATAGGGTGCGCCAGAACTCGCGCCCCAGCGAAAAATGCCATATAAGGTAAGATACCAGGAATATGGAAAAAATGGTATCTATAAAAATTTTGAAGATATGAGAGTTTAAATTTTGCACTTTGACTCTATTTATTTCTGTTGGAAAAATAATTTTCCAAGTTTTTTTTTGCTACAGGGTATTAGAAGAGAAAACAAGGAAGCTGTATACTCCATTTAATGTTATTTGTGGCTTTTATTGGCAAAGTTTTTGTACTTTTACTAAATAATTATAAAAACATATACCTACAAGGTCATCAGTATCATAGACATAAAAAAATTACAAATGTCACAAAATAAATGTCAAAATTTTAAGGCTATAACATTTTAGTGTGTGTTGCATTTGTAAAAATTTGTTTGTTAAACATTCAATATCTTAATAATTTTTAATGGAACACTCTATTTAGCGATTTTTCATCTAAGAGATTCCAGACATTTAAAAGATTGTTTTTAGGTAGACAATTTAACAATCTATTAGATGCAAAAACAAAGAATAAGGTGTTTCATTTAAGTTTTAATAAAACTCAACGTTTTTCATCTTTATAAAAACTAATAAATAATTTTCCAAGTTTTTTTGCTACAGGCTATTAGAAGAGGAAACAAGGAAGCTGTATCCTCAATTTAATGTTATTTGTGGCTTTTATTGGCAAAACAATGTCATGTCACAAAATAAATGTCAATTTTGACGGATAGAATTTTTTCCATCTTTGAAATTTTTCTACATGTATTTTCGTAGCCTAAGGGCGCCAAATATCTTAGGACGGCTCTGGTGCCCTTCATAATTTGATGTCATATTTTGTTTGGGTTGGTCCATTACGCTTTTTGATTTTGCAAAATCGATTCTTTGCTGTCATTGTGTTGCAATATTTGTAATTATTATATGCGATGCGATTCTTGTTTCGTTTATTTATACCTGAGTCGGATTTAGCGAAGCGGTAAAAAATTCAATAGGTCCTCAAAAAGCAGGTAAAAGCTATTAAACCGTGCGCTATTGAAAAAATCTCCCTAAATAAATATATTTAGTATGACACCTTGCATTTTGCATTGTTCGTTAAGTAGGCGTTAAGTATTTCGTACGTGGTCAAAAAATAAATTAAGTGTTCTTTGTTGGGGGAATGTGCATATAAAAAAATCAATTAGAAACTTCACGGTAGGGTTGTTTATAAATAGGTAAATAGAAGTTTAGAAACGACGAAACAAAGGGATCTCGCTAAAGAGTAAAGAAAACAAAGTACCAAAAGCTATAAGTGAAAACCATTTGCAGGCGCCACTGGTCTTTTTCAAATCATCCTAAAACAAATTTACATACGTAGAGTTGCACCCTAGTGATTTACATAAAATACACCTAAAATAGTTGAGTTTCTTGTCGTTTGACGTGTAAAGATGGTCGCATTAGCTAATTGCAGTTGCGATGCGTTTTTGGGGCTATAGCGTGTAGAATCGAATCGACTCACTCTTCGATTCTCTGCATTAACAAAATAACATTCGAGGCCTAATGGACGGAGATCTTTATCATAAGGACACATTAGCGAGGATGTGGATGTAGCTTAAGTAGGCGTGGCTAGTACGTACTTAGATAAAACTTACGATAAAATGACAATTGTGTCATACAACCACGCCTCTTTTCTAACCGACCGGGGGAAATACCGAAATGAGCAAATAAAAGCACGGCTTGTTATAATTACTGTTCAAACAGAAACCAATCAATTTTGAATAACTGTCAAAATCACATGACAAACCTCGACTTAATTAAAGTTTAATTGAACTTAATTATCGTAGTTGTGTCACACGAAATTTCATAGATGTCGGTACCGTCTGCCGCGTCCATCGATCGGTGTCGCACCCAGCATTTGTTTTTTAGCATAATGTGGTAATTTGAGCTGATGGAAGAAGTGTGCATTTTGAATAAGGAAAATCTACAACCCTTCCCAGTTTATTTATTTTAATTAAATGGCAGCGGTGTGTAACGAAGCGGTAAAGAGCTGTTCACAAAATTTTCGACTTGGAAAAAAATCCGAAGAGAGAGTACATCCTCCATCAGTTGTTTAACTCAATTATTGATCAAATATGGCGCGGTTCCCACCCTACGGTCTCTATTAACCCTTTCGGTTTGAGGGGTTTAGTAATTATGTACCAACCCCCATATTAGGTCCTCTGCGAAAGGGGCTCTATTATATTAATGCTTGTAAAAATATCACTTTTATTGTCTTCTATTGTATTCCGAGCCAGTTTACGAAAAATCTATTTGCTTTTTACTACTTAATCGATTCTTTTCTAATTCCCCTCTTTGAAAGTTCAATAAAGCTCTTGAAAAAGCATTAATTTTCTTTTACGCGGAACGTCTGAATGACAGTCTCAGTTTATTGAATAAACATAAATACAGCTCAAGATTTTTTGTGGGCGCAATCAATTTTATTCACGAATGCGACTTGATTTATGGTAATATGTCTGGAAGCAAATGTGTTTTATGTTGTCGTGAATCAGTCAGCGAATTCTTGCGTATTTTCGATGTCTTGTCTTCTGTCACATGGCTAATGTTTAGTGAGTGGCGTCAATTATGAAGTATGTTCGTCGTAACTAAAACCATGTATTTTTACACCCACAATCGAGCACGTGTACTGGCTGTGTCACTAAAATAATTTTGATAATGTGTCGAGTGCTTCCATTAGTCAAGTACAAAAATAATTTTTCCAGATGAGATTTAGCAGTTCTTAGCTCAAAAGCTTACCATATCTTAAACTTATGTCGCTCTTACTTGTTACAGTTGGGCTCGCTGCCATCATGGTTCAACCAGCCACAGTTTCGCACTATGGAGCCTGTGAGTAAATCCCAAGAAGCAAAAGTCTTCCAACCGCCGAAAATTTGCATGGTGAGTCAACAAAATCCCTAGTCAAAAATTTTGACCAGTTCTTGGAAATACGTGGTGGCGTAATTGCATGATCTATTTATAAGATCGGATATTGGATATAAAGAATTCCATTAGTTTAGGGTTTGGACGTCGCGAAGACGACGGATACCTGACATGTACGTACGTGTTATGCAATGGTTAACAGGCGCGCGACAACCAGCAATTTCCTTTCCATAAATGCCAACCTCTTTTCATGTCACCTACTCGACTCGACACGCAAACAACTAACGTTCACATTTCTTTGGCGCACACAAACTCGCACATACAGATACCTATCATTAACCCATTCTCGTCACAACCAAGCGAAAAATCTCCTACAAGTAAAGGGTGTCCCAACAGGAACTTGAGGATTTAAATTTCACATTACCACTTCATATAATTTTGTCATAGAGTTGTTGTCAGTGTTCGCACTTTCCGGTCTTGTGAGTTGGAGACGCAACTCTTTGGTGTTTTCCAAAAGAGCGCTTTTCTTACCTCTTAGACTCTCATTCACAGAGTCGTAATCGTGACCACCAATTTAATTCCACCTCGATGGCATTTGCGGAAATTCATTTGCAAAAATTTTAATAAAAGATTCGCTGTGTGCAATAGGAATCGCGTGGACATTTATCCGATATCTTGTTCCACGTATAATTTTAAGGTTTTTACTTTATGTTTATGTTAATAAATCGTTCAATTTCTAAATACTACGCATGTTATTTGGAATTTAAATCCACAAGTTCCCGTTGGGACACCCTATAGATTGACCAATTAGGAGTTAGTGTGACTTGTTGGTGGTAGTTTTGAGGTCTATATCAATTTTAGTAATTTAAGTTTAAGAGCGACAGCCGGCTGTTTTACTTTTCAAAGGCCGTCAAATGACAACGGACCCGACAAAAGAATCAGCTCGGTCATCCCCTTGATTAGGAGAGATCTTTGTGCCTTTGCACCTTCCCATGATGCTGCACTTCTGGCGTCGTCTACTTAACCAAGAAAACGCACGAGTGTCACTTTTTCAATTAGAAAGTTCGAGAAAAAAGCCATTTTGGCGAATTCCGTAATTGGTTTGGAAAAATTATGCACGAGCGTCAGTTAATTGCAATTAAAAATCATACGTGAAATCTCTACCTCCATTCTAATGATTCAACCCGGACAGGTTATGGCGGAGAGAATGTAATATTAAAATGACGTATAAGCAAAATATGACACACCGAACACACATCTCGTGTAACAACGGCGAAAAGGTTCCAATTAGGAGTAACCGAGGCAACGTATTGCTGAGCGAATTAGTAAAGGGAATATGTATGTAAGTCTCGGGACTGTTCCCGGAACAATTTCCGAATCAATAATGCAATTGTTCTGAAATTTTTTACGTCTAGAACAAAACGATGAAAATCTTATTAGACAAATTGGATCGGCGGTAACTAATGAGGATATTTTTCAACTAGTTGGGTGCCAGGGTTTCATGATAGATATTAGATTTGGCGTGAAATAACAGGTTCCCGCGGCTTGATTTGAAATTTATAAAATCGCCCTTTTTGATTTTAATAAATTTATCGGATTGTGGGCGGTTTATCCTGAAGCGAAGCACTTTGCGATCTTCGCAAAGTCACTCCGTCTTAATAGTTTCACATCGTTTTTATAGTCCGTTCCCGCCTTACTCGTCAAGGCTGAAATGTCAAGTGTTTTGCACTAAACTCGACCGATTTTTCCTCGGAATGAATCGAAATTAACTTAATGGTGGAGTGTCAACGTAATTAGAGCTTTCCGTTCTAATTTTGAACCGGCTTACCTTGTAATGACAATTTGGTGAATGTCGGTTCTAATTCGGCTAAATAAATTATTCATAAAACATCTTTCGCGTGATTCCTCCTAGTAACACCTTGGGGAAGCTTAAATTTCAATATAGTTTAATCGCAAGTCGGCTGTGAAAAATACGCTTCTTCATGCATGATTATAATCATGGTTGGGTTTAAGAGTTTTTAATGTAAATTATTTTTTTCACTACTAGCTGCAAAAGATACCATTATTTAGTTTGCCGAGAGGTTGTGAAGTTGTTTTTCTCTCCTAGTAATCAATAATCATTATAAACCAAGGACTATAATGTGTACATTGATACAAATATTTCTAGAATATTATTATTGAAAACTATTACTATCACAAGTACAAGTATTTCGAGGCAAAATCAAATAAAATAAGACTTAAATTTTCTCAATAAAAAATATCAGAACAACCCAAACTCTAATCTTTCTGTAGATGTCAACTGCCAAAACAACAAATGGGTCTTTTTCTTGTTAAAATAATATCGGTAAGGTGGCAAATTTGAACACTTTTTCCCTTTTCTTTGTAGTTTCTCTGTTATTTTAACAAATATTTCATATTACGAAGTTAGAAAATTTCTTTAATAGTTGTAGAAGTACAAAAATGACATAAGCTCATTTACGATAAGAAGAAAATAATACTTCCAATTTAAGTTAATAACTCAGGTAAGTAATTAATTACTGTATTACAACTTGTTATATCTGAGGCAACATGTCCATTGAGTAAGGTTATATTTTTTACTGTTGTATTTCTGGGTAATAAATGTGCTAGTAGTGAAAAAAAGTGTTATATAAAACACGATAGAAAACATTTTTATAGCCTTGCATTTATTATTTCTCTTTAGAACTAAACAGCTCGGTTATAAAAAATATCTTCTCCACTTTGCGATATAATATACTATTAATAGTTGCAGAAGTACAAAAATGACACAGGCCCGTAGCTAGAAACAATTTTTAGGTAGGGTGCCTAAAATTTTTAGTGGGGCTAAAACAGTTCTGCAGTTTTTTCAAAAAAATTCTCGAACAGGGCGATTGTATTTTTTAAAATGCTATATTTTGACATTTTACTGACATTTATGACGTTATTTGTTTTTGAGTTGTGACGTCATTTTTAATTTTTTTAAATGACAACTGTCATTTTTTCACTGGTTTAAATAGCACACATCCTTATTCTTCTGACAAAAAAATAAAATTAAAACTTAAAAAAAAAAATTTTAATAATAAAATATTGTACAACACAAAAAACTTTATCTTTTTGTTCTTGTCTTATTTTATAAGGGGCAATTGTTTTTTGTATATTTTCTAAATAATTAGCATGGAAACACTTAATATGAAACCTAAACACAAAAAATAAAAACAAAAAACAAACACTTTTTTAAAATAAAACAAGAGCAAGAAGATAAAGCTCTTTTTATATTTTAAACTTTTTTAAGTATCTAAAACAATAATCATAAATTTTGGTTGACACAAAAAAATAAATAAAAATATCGTCATTACTCGAAAACGAGTCACTATAGTGTCAAAATGTGACATTTAAAAAAATAAAATCGATCTGTTCCAGGATTTTTTTGAAAAATGACTCATAACAAAGATATGAATTTTGTGCGTTACTTTTGGTTCAGTCTGTACCTATTATAATTTTATGCGTTATTATTTCTAAAGAAAGTTGTTAAAAAAGACAAAGTTTTAAAGTAGGGCTTAGAATATTTAAAGTACTTGGCCCCTCACTATGATAAGAAGAAAATAATACTTCCAACTTAAGTTAATAACTCAGATAAGTAATTTCTGTAGGTAATAGTGAATTAACAAAAATAGTATTTGCGTTTGAGGCAATATGTCCATTAAGTGGGATTATGTTTTTCACCGTTGTGTTTCTGGGTAATAAATGTGGTAGTAGTGAAAAAATGTTATATAAAACACGGTAGAGAAGATTTTTACAGGCTATAAAAAATCTGTTTTCTACCTTGTGATATGATATACTATTCCGGTTTGTTTTGTCGAAATTCGAGGTGCAATAAAAGTGTTAACGTCATAAATCCATAGAAAATAAATGTTTACACGAAATCATAATTTACTGTCGCTAAGTCGTGTTTTTGGTCTGCATGAATTTATAGAAACGTCCTATCTATTTTTCGACAGTTATTCGATGTTTGTTTATGTTTGGCAGTGTATAACCAGATCTTTAGACATAGTTTAGCTACCTGTCCAGTGTTCACCGTCACCCATTGCGACCTCTGTCTATTTTCACAGTGTCTGTGTACAAATAAAATAAGGAGGTTAAATGAAAGGCAAATATACAATTAATTTGATGGGTGTATTTTTCTTTAATAAGTTTTATCAAAGATTTGTTTTTTGGAGTATAAGCGGAAAGTGGCACATTATAGAACATGGTTTGGCGTTCAATTTATGTCGGTATTAAGACAAGCAAATTATCTTAGCGGCGGGTTTATGTGTGCTTGTACGAGTTCATGCACAACCATTAAACTTTATGTTGCCTCTAAGTAAAGATAACGCTTAAGCCATCTAAAATTATCTTCCAATAATTTAATTAATTCGGACGCATCTTGGACGATTATCCAATTTGACAACAACCGTTTCCCCAACCAACACAAATGATATATAAACAATGTCATTTATAAATGAAATATAGCGCGAATAGATGGATATACGTTAACAAGGTCTCTGCCAAAGAAAATATCCCTTTGTTCGAAACCGCACTCTAACAACAGCTCATAAATACCGCCACTAAACTATATTTCTTGCTGCAGTAAACCATACACCAAAGACATTTAAAGTGTAATCGGTGTCCTAAAGAATATTCGACTCACTGAACAGCAACAAAAAAAAATATTTAAATTTCTTATCATTCGCGTGCGTTTATTATCTGTAATTACTAATACGTCTTTACATAATAATGCAATAATTATGTTTATTTATCATCATTAGGAATTTAAACGGTGTCTGTTTTTGAGTCAAGTGTTTGTAATTTTTGCAATGTAGTTATCACGATTACAATTTAGATGTACACATTGATATAATTTTATATTATGGGAGAATTGATGTGATATGCAGGTGTTTTCAGTGATAATGATTTTAATAAATACTTTCTATAATTACAACCACGAGACGATCATTGCATGTTTATAAAACTTAGCACTGGTG